TGCTTCTGTTGTTGCTGCTTCTGTTGTTGTTGCTTCTGTTGTTGTTGCTGCTGCTGGTGTTACTATTGATGATGTTACTACTTCTGTAGTTGTTGTTACTGCTGCTGCTTCTGTTGCTTTTTCTTCTAAATTATTTTACTAACCGTTATTCTCATCTTTTACACGATACTGTTTTCTTATAGATGAAGCAGCATTAGTGCACAAGAAAGGTTCTCCCAAAGGATCATTTTTCAACAGCAAATCAGGAGGTTCTTCTGAAGGCATCGTGTTTGCAACTAACAGCATCGAGGAATCTATGCTGCAGTTTGGGGACCTGTTAGATACTGAGGTATTAAAGGCTTAACAATCACTTTGCACGCGAACTGATATCGATTACTTATTATACCTATTATCAGTGCTGCTTCAAATAAAAATATATCAGTTTTATCTGATACCCTGAAACAACCTCTGGGCTGATCAAAGTCATATGATAAATTTAGTTTATGATAAGAGGTGCAAGAGCCAGTCCCTGATCTTTTGCCACAATCATAATTTTTTAGATTTATCGTTATTATTAGCTCAGTTCTATGAAATGAAATTTTACATTTACTCTCGTGTTATATTCACTTTCTCTCGTAAAGCTGATGTATTTTTTATTCCAAAGTCAGTTAATAAAAAGTTATCGTTATTCTTGTTTTAGTCTGAGGACTCCGACGAAGGCCAAGACTGGCAGGCAGGTCCAAGCACAGAAAGCAGCGAACCTGCCAACCTTCAGTACTTGTACATCCAGATGGAATACTGCGAGATGAGCACACTGCGGTATTTGATTGACGAAGGCTTGTACAAAGAGAGGGACAAGGTGTGGAGACTGTTGAGAGAGATTGTGGAGGGTCTTGCTCATATTCACTCGCAGGTAATAATCCAATTTTACCAAATATGTAAATTTTCTGGCTTTCTCTGATTGGTCGAGAGCCGTGGTGAACAAGAGGACATGCCACGTTAGTAAACCATCGGAAATTTGTTAAGTACCTTGTAAAAGGAATCGTTCCTCTTATTCCAATCCTTTAGTCGGCCTAATGAAAAACATCTTGCGACTTCTACGGGAGCTTAAACATTTGAATCATCGACAACAACAACAAAAAAATTCGACTTTATGAGGTGAATGGATACGTTTTTGAATCAGTGCTTACCATTTACCCAGAAAACCGGAAAAAGAATGGTATGTGACATTCCAATCGGAAAGGTTTTCCGATTGATGTGATCCACTTTTCCAGCTCTTTTCGGTTCTTCGGGTAGACGCGTGTACCATTTGTCGGAAGTAAAACCTTCCCGCTCTTTTCTTACCATTAATAAATGAATTTTCAACCGGATGGAATAGTTTAAATGGTAAACACCCCAGTATGCGCGCTTGTTTTTTATTGCTTAAATAATGATTAATGTTGTGATAATGATTACTTTTAGGGAATCATACATCGAGATTTAAAACCGGTCAATCTTTTCCTCCATGCCAATGGTCAAATCAAGATTGGTGACTTTGGGTTAGCAACCACGCACGGGATGACCCGAGGGGAATCCGCTCCTGATGTACACACACCCACCACAGCCCCGGACGCTCCTGACACTAAAGAATCGTCAACAACAGCCGAAGGGATGACAGGAAAGGTTGGGACTACATATTACGTTGCTCCTGAACTGGCCAAAGGATCCGGAAGGATCAGGTATAGCAACAAAGTCGATCTTTACAGCCTTGGGATAATTTTTTTCGAGATGTGTTACCGTCCCCTGAAAACTGGAATGGAGAGAGCCAAGACACTCGGTGATATAAGAACGGTAAGTTCATCATTGTGGACTGAACACGACTGAGTCAACCAATTTATACTGGAAAAATCGTACAAGATCCCTATCATGGAAGTATGTTGGAAGTGGCGAGTTCCAACATATTTCCACACAATGGAAGTCTCCAATATAACTTCCAAAATATTTTCATGATCTCAATGCTATCTATTTTTCCAGTGTCATACAGTAGACTGGTTTTGTAGTAGACTTGAACGCGGAGAAAAAGTTAATTTGAGTGACCAGCACTCGTGCATAGTAAAATGCGTCATGAAAACATAAAAAGAACTATCTTCTTTTCTCTTTCCTTTATTTGTTTCAGAGTAAAGTCAAGTTTCCAGAAGACTTCGACAAGAAGCGGTCAGCAAAAGAAACAAACGTCCTGTTGTGGCTTCTTAAACACAATCCAGACGATCGCCCTTCATCGCAAGAACTCCTTCAAAGTCACTACATCCCACCAAAGCTCGAGGACCACCAGCTCGATGAAGTCCTTAAACACACCCTGGCTTCAACGAACTCCACTCGATATATGCGCCTGATGACGGCTTTGTTCTCTCAGCAAGTGAGCGGAGTGTTTGACGTGACGTATGATATCGAGATCCTTAAAGCTGCTAACAGCGCTCGAGCAGTACTTGCGCAACAACTTGTCCACGAGGCACTAAAGAATATTTTTAATCGCCATGGTGCCCTCAGGATACGGACGCCATTGTTGATGCCCAGTACAAAAGCTGTGGAAAAGCTAGAGTCAGCAGTGACTGTTGTAGACCATAGTGGTGGTGTGCTGACATTACCATATGATTTGCGTGTTCCTTTTGCTCGTTATATTGCACGCAGTGGTTTGACACATGTTAAACGCTTTGATGTTGGCTGTGTGTATAGGGACAGGAAGATTTTGGGAGCGCATCCAAAGGAGCTTTACGAATGCGCCTTCGATATAGTTTCGCCTACATCCGAAGGCAACGTCCCTGACGCTGAAGTAGTTTTATCAGTGGCTGAGATCATCCGAGAATTTCCATGTCTCCATGAACGGAACTACTTTATTCACATGAACCATGCGGGGTTATTAAAAGCAGTGTTAAATTCATACGGAGTTCCCGAGGATCGACACGACGATCTCTTCAAAATCTTACAAGCAGCACAAACCGAAAGGTTGAGGAACGAACAGATAAATGAGTTTCTCGAAGGAATTCAGGTTTCAGAGCGCTCCATTGCTTCATTGTACGGATTTCTTTACTTTGAGGGTCCAGTCGAAAAGGTTCGAGAACATATCATTGGTGTGCTAAAAAAAGGGACCCAGGCAAGTGCAGACGCCAAACAAGCTCTTCACGAACTACAGGCAGTCGTTTCTCATTGTGCAACATTTGACGTCAAGCTGTCAATCACAATCAAAACTACGTTAGTATACAACATACAGCATTTCTCAGGCATCATTTTCCAAGTTGTTTCAACAGACAATCGAAAATCCAAGCGTGGACGAGTTGATATACTCGCGGCCGGTGGTCGCTATGATAAACTTGTGACTTACTTCCGACACGGAAGTGAAGCCCACCAGAGCCCAGGCGCCGTCGGAGTAAGCATCGCAGTTGAAAAAATTGTGTCAGCGGTGTCTTCCGATGAATACGTGAATCTTCCTTGCGCCTGCGATGTAATGGTTTGTTCAGCGAGTCAGACTTCCATGTTAAATGAGCGCATGCGTATCGTTCGTGAACTTTGGGCTGCTGGGATTCGTGCGACGCTCATGTATAACTCACCTGCTCAGTTTACGTTAGAGGATATTCAGGATTATTGCAAAGAGGCTGAAATACCGCATATTGCATTCTTAAAGGAGTTTGACCCTGTTGTCAAGGTAAGAAAAGGGAGTCACATCTCTTCTTAATCACCAAGTTTTTTTAAGTCAAAAATGCGGATATCATATTCATTATTTCAAGAATGATTTACAGTGAGGACACTCAAACAATGGACACTTCGAATTTTTTCAGGTTAATTTTTTCAGAATAAAAAAAAGTCACTCACTGGAAATATTTTGAAACGACGATGTTTTGACTAGAACCACTAGTCTTCATCAGGCGTGTTGCTTGAGATTGGCTGATCACGTGACTGTCTTAAATGGCCCCGTGATAACCGCTGAGGAATGCTCGTTAGGTCGATGTCTAGGGATTATTTTCTGCACTTTCTACTTTTTCAAACCCTCTAAAATGAAGCACTGAGTTGCAAATACACCGAGTGATCAAAATGAATCTTATTTACAGTCGATTGGCTCAAGGGAGGATTGACAGTATGCATTTTAGAATAGTGACAAAAAACTTGAAGTGTTTACGGTTCCTCGCTATAAAATATTCAGAAATACGATAAGCGGTAACAAAGACAATCGCAAAATAAGAAGGTAACTGAAGTGAATGAACGAATGAATAAGATGACATATAAAGAATTAAAATCAGTGGAATGAGTTAGGAGAAAATGGAATAAGAGACATTGGATGAAAGATCGAATAAAAGACTGATAAAGAAGAAAGGTGACAGCCCAATTGGTATTGTTTTCATTCAGAGAAAATTGCCCTAATTCACTATGACGTCACTGCTTGTTTATGTGGGGGATAGAATCGCCAAATCCAATAGAAAATTCAACAAAATTTGCTCCTAGCGAAACAATTTAATCTAAAATGGTCTGGTTTTCAGATATAATATGTGTTAATATGTACTAAAAAATATTCTGATATATAGCGTTTGCTGGCTATTCTACTTCTCTTCGTGGGTTTTAGAACCATTTTCGGTGAATTTGCGTTGCTTTGACCCCCTCCGACGACCATTATCCTTTGCGTTTAAACAATAGATTGTTTTGATGTGACATCATAGTGAAATAGGGCAATTAGATTTTTGATTGCGTAGTGCAGTATTTTTAACTTTTATTTTGTATTTCCCGATGAAGGTGGTGTCAATAGAAAGCCGAGACAAAGTCACCAAGTCCCTGGTCTCCACGAAGGACCTACTAGAACACTTACAAGCCAAAATATTCAGTCGAGCAGAAACGACAGACTCTCTCATCTCCAACACTAAAGGCATTATCAGTTTAAGTACTACAGATCACTCCACGTCCGCTTCCACAGATATACACGTATCGTTTACAACACAGGAAAAGCTACAGTGGAATATCAAGAAACGATATGAGAGTCAAATGATGGCTAAGATAGGCCCTGTGGTGCATCAAATCCGACAGCACATTAGCTCGAAAAGCGGAGTCGAAGTTATAGGGGTAAGTTGTTCTTGATTATAGGGGGGTAGGGTAGGGATACGGGTATTCTCCATATTTGAATTAGAATTCCTTGATGATGGACAGGTCTAGGGCTTATGTATGTACCTACCAAAATAAGCGCAATACTTCTCACAAAGACAATGAAAGAAACGCAAGAAAAGGGTTTGGTAAAGCAGTTAATGCATTGACTTGAAGAAGGGGAAAATATTGAACAAGACATGAAAATGAAGTAAATGATAACTGATCATTTGATGTTTCATCTACATATATTTATCGTTTTCGGTATTAAATCTCGATAAAACATCAACCGATTATTTAATAATAACTGTGATTTATTTTCATTGTATTGTTTTTATGAAGAATGATCATTCATGGGATCATAAGCGACGCCTGAGACCTGCACCCGTGTCAATGATATCTGTTCTAAATCCTCGGCCAGCTTTTCAACCCTTGTTGTACATGTGGTACTTTGTTCCTCCACTGCTGTTTTATCTACTGTACCTGACTCTTTTACTCTATAATCTCTGTATTCCACCTTTCTATCACTACTTTACTGTATCCTGTTTCATTGGTGGCGGAGCTCAGATCAGTAAACGAGCTACAGAGTTCTTTTTTAGCCTCTTTCGTATAAAATATTTGCCATTGCGCAGCGTGTTTCGTGGAGTGTGGCTGTTGCTTTCTATTGTCCCTGCTCGTCTCTAATTTGTTCCGTCCTCTTATTTGGCTTTGCCTGTACTTATTAACAATCGCAAGGCCTGATCTACTTCTTTGAAGGAAATTTGTCTTCTCAGTAGAATGTTCTTGATTACCGGCGCCATACCAGTACTTCACATTTCTTTCAAAGTACACCAATACATTTTTATTACGTATGAGGTACATAAAGGGTAAAACTGCTCCCTTAAGACGGCGAAAATAATATACCGTAAAAGCAAACGCGGGAGAAACGTTAGTGTAGTCTATAAACATAGTATAGACAACGCTGATGATGAATGGCGTGGATGAAACTAAATAAATGGTAAATAGAAATACTGCGGTGATGGAGGATCGGGCGTAAGAATGAACTGCAAATGGCTCTGTTTTTGAGCGACTGATGACGCTCGAGTCGTTGATCATAATCTTTCGACGTGTTCGGCCTGACTGTAAAATCCGTCCAAAAACCCATACAATTATGGAATAGGGAAGTACAACGGAGCAGAACTTGAGGAAGGTCGACATACTCAGAATGTTTAAGCCTGGACTGTAGATGTATGGAAAACGCTGGCAAACAAAGAGCGCAAGATCTGAAGATTTTGAAGATGGCGAGAGAAGGTCCCAAGGTAGAGCTGTGAGGAATGCCTGACACCAGACAACCACGATCATGATTTTTGCCTTTTTGTGGCTTAGTCGACGGAATGAAGTATGCACCAGATTAAGATATCGATCGACTGCTGTGAAAAACATGCTCATGGAAGTTGCTGCCGTCGTAAAATGATAGATGAATAAGGAAAATCTGCAAAAAAAGCCATGTTGCTGGACAAGCTCTGGATGTGTCCGACTTGGTATCAAGTAAAATGGAACGTCAATCAAATCCGACATAATGTCCACTACACACAAATTAACCACCATTTTGTTAGTAACTGTCCGCATTTTAAAGTTGTTCATGAAAGCAAATATGATAAAATGGTTCCCGACAAGCGAAACAGCGATGAGAATAGCTAGAGATACTACCTCAACACTGCTTGATTGGAAATCTCTATCTGTAGTAGTGACGTTGGTGTCGTTTGGTTGAGTTATCCAGTTAACTGACATCGTAATGCGGTCAAAATTCTTGATTATCAAATTGACCAAGGTATCAAGCAGTCAAATTCAAGGACCAAAAGACGTTGGCAGATCGTTTTTAACGCGTTCTTGGCATCCTTTAATTAAAGAAATCTTCAATCTGGTTCGTCCATACATAAGAAACCGTTTTTATTGCAGCCTTACCAACCATTCTTTATTTCGATTGGTAGATGGCAGCATAGTTAATATTAACTATGATGGCAGGATGTGCGAACAGAATGCCCACATTAATTGATTTCTACCCCAACAATAGAACTTTCTCTGCTATTATAGTTAAATACAATTTAAAATTTATACGTGTTTTATATCTTATTTCACGGTTGCAGTCATTGTGTTATCTTATCGTAATAATTAAGAAAACACACACACAAAAGGAAAGGAAAAGTAAAGCTTTTTAATACGATATTACCAGAAATTTTGATCAGAAGTGAAAATATATGTCAAGCAGTATTCTGTATTTATACTTACAGATATGCATAAATTGGCCAGATTTTCGTGATTTGGCTCTCACAATTTTCGAATTTTCCTTCCTCCACTGACAAAAGCTACGTTCCAAATTCCTTTTTTTTTCTTTGGAACCTCGTCAAATGAGTCGTAAAACATCTTAGTGCACCCTTCGGCCTAAAGCGGAAAATTATGCTGAGTCAGCGTCAACCTAAACGGTACCTTTTCTCGTCGTACCTTTTCCAAATAGCCGGGTGTATTAGGTTAAATAATTCATTTTACGACGACCTTAACTGTTGCTTCCAGGATATTTATGTATTCTAATTTTACGTTTCACATCCGTGAGTTATTCTAGCAAACTCTTGGCAGCAGGAAAGCCATCTTAATCTTGTTCTAGCAAAGAAACTCTTCAGATTAAAAATCGTCTAATAGTTTAGTTAGATTTCCCGTCGAGTCCGATCCATCCGATTTTCTTATCTTTTATCTAACTATTACCGTAATGATTGTCAAAATAATTTACATAAAACCAGTGAAGTTGACAAACGAAGCAACGCCGATATTTCAAGTTTATTTCTTAAATTCTCAAACGATTTACGCCTCTTTAGCAGAAATCTGCAGATTTGCCCGGCTAAGAGAAGACTATTAGCCGAATTCAAAACGGATGTGTTGGTAGAAGACTGCTAAGAGACTAAGAGAGCAGCCGGAATATCTTATATTATGAGATCAAAGTTCTTATACCATTGTCAATATTCATATTTTCCGGGGTTTTTTTTCTGCTTTTTTTCTTGTCGTTTACTTTCTTTTCTTTTGTATTTTTGTACGACCAGTTTGTTTGTTTGTTTACTTATTTATCGTTATTTACACTAAAACGCACTCGGATAGTTTGCTGCGTCTGGTGCGATTTCTACTTCCACGTTCAGTATATACTTTATATTTTGGGAATCATAGTTGGCGTACCTTTAGTGCACTGTTTTGCCTCTCATCTCTAGGGTCTCATATATTTGAATAGAGTTTGTTAGGTCTCTCCCTTGATTCGAGGGTTTTTCTCATTCCGTATTTTCCGGGTTTTTTTATTTTTTGTTTTACCACCACAAAATCAACATGCTAAATTCCCATTCGATCTGTTAGGAGTTATAGCCGTACCCTGAGTTTGATTTGACCAGACGTTGATTTTTAGCCTGGATCGATAAATAATATCTTATGAGCGCGTGTCTTTAGAAAATGTGCCTCAAGATGCACGTTACAAATAAGACATAAGTTGCACTAGTTCGATAGATTGAGAAATCCTTCTCAATCATCATTTCTCAAGATCAGGTTATGTTATCGGATGCAAAGACGGTGATTTGTATCGCAAAGATTAGTCCACTCCTTTCAACTTTTTGGGGCCGGATTCGAATGATAAATTCCCGATAAAGTGGCCCTTCACAATGCGTGCCCTCTAAGTTGGATTGCTAAAGATTTTCTATCTTTCCGGTCTCTTTTCTCTCAGTTTGATAGTAGGACGAAAATATAAGATAATATAAGAAAATATGGATAGGTTTCTTCGACACTTTTTCTCTGGTTTTACGTCCTCTCTCTCAATATAAAATTCAACAATTTCTTTCGAATCATTTTCCTATTGTAAGCTTGTGCTTTGGCAATATCCCTTCCGACGCTAACATCAAGGCAGTAGATAATAAGATAATAAAATAGATAATAAGAAACTGGAAAATGTTTGTTTTAATTGAATATCTGAGGTCTAAAATTGTATTTAATTTCCTTCTATTCCTTATCTCAAGATTTCTTATCTTTATCAAGATTATATCGATAATTTCCCCATCCTCTAGATGTTCACAATCCCAATCCATGCGAATATTATCTCTTTTCGTTCTAATTTCCTTGGCGTGGCGGCTTATATTCTGACGAAATCATGACGTCAATGAAAAGTGCGACTTTTAGAAAAAACTTTTCTATTAAGAGAGCTTTTTTGGGATGTTGGGAAGGTTTTACCGAATGAAACACGATGTTTGCTTACCTCTTTTTCGCCTACTTTGCTTGTGCTTGCATAGGAGTAGGATTCACTTCTCTTTGAGTGTTTTTATGACTCTTTGAGTCTATGAACATTTAAAGAAGTTACTAAGACAAAGATTGGAACAGATTAAATTTCAATATTTTAATATCAGTAATTCTCCTATAGTTTTATACATATTTTTAGCTATATTTATTCTTTTTATTTATTAATTCTTAATATATATTTATACACTGTAGTCTTTTATTTTATGTCTGGGCTCCTGTTTAAGTTAATTTCTTTTACTTTGTATCCTCAATTAGTAATGATGCCAGAGTTTATTGACGCCTGAATAAAGTTTATTATTATTACCAAGCAAATTCGTTTGGATATGCAAATTCGACAAGTACTACATTGTTAGCATCCTTACGCACCTAAAGATACGTTTGCTCACCTTAAATGCAATCAGATTTTGTTTTATTTTATTCAAAAATTCATATTTTAGATTAACACCTCCCAATCTACCACCTCTATCCGCCCCAGCAACAAGACTGATCTGAACGAGTTTTTAATCTTACTTTTAAATGATGACAATGATTTAGAATATTTGACAGACACACCAAAATGTTACCCACCAGCCCAATACAACATTTATCCCCATTTTGGTGTGATGCTTTTATTCCCTTGAAAATAAAATTCTTTTTTTGACTTGTATCCAGAATTCATGTGTCTTCTCGTGAACAACCGTTAATTAAAGAAATGATACTCTAGGGAATGACACGTGGTYWGAAAYGGRAAAACATTACGCCCAAGCTAAATGCAGACCAAAACATCCACTGCGTCAAACCGCTAATAATAAATGATTGGCCGGACATTTGCGTAAAGTGATTAGAAAACATAGAATTGCGACATTTCTACTCCGCAGTTGGTCTTTTTGATTTCTACAATCACACCTTTTTCCCCTTAAAGCGCTCCAAGCTAGAAGTTAAGAGATGGAGGAAATTGCATGGTATCTTCATGCAGTGGGCAGGCATAATTGGCACTATTTTTCATACGTGTCATCTGGGATTGTATGGCCATAGTTTGTCAGAGATTTGACAGTGTGTTGTGTGTGACGTACTTTATCACAAAGTAAATTCGAGGGCAGCAAGCATTGCACTTTTACAAACATCGAAGGATTTAATGGAACTAAAAAATCAATTATCGCACTGAGATTTGCCAAAAGCCTTTCTTTCTTTCTTTGTTTCCTTCATTTTAATGTTTTATTTTACTTCCTCGTCTTCTTCAAAACAAAGCAGCATATTTCCGTACAAAAACTGTTATGGAGAAGTCCAGGGATAATTAGATTGAATTAGAAGCATTTTTTTGCCGTTAAATTATCATAATTTACGACTCTTTAGCCAAAGTTTTGATGATTTTATGCCCAGAAAGAAGTTAGGGACTTTTGTTATGAATCTTTCCATTAAGGAAAGAGGGTTGGAAAAACGAAGCCGAGACTTCTAACCAACATCGAGGGAGGTTTTATGGGAGAAGATGAAACACTCTGGCTTTCTTGTGTTTGATATTGTTTTTTAGACAATTGATATTTCTTGGAGAAAATCATAGCAAACGTTGTGTGGACCAAATTTTATACTCATTATCCACTCATCTTCAACCTTCTTTTTTAAACTTCTTCGAAATATATAAATGAATCCATATCTCTCGCCTCTAGTCTTTTCATTCGGCCATTTTTGACATTTTCTTCTCTATTTTTTCTCGTAGGTTGATTTACCAGGAAATATTTTGAAGAGCATGGCCGCGTCCTTAGACTTGGAAGGAAGCGAAGATGCCTTTGACAGCAGCGTATCCTCGGTGACTGACAAACATTCAAGATACGCTAAAGCTATCAGTCGCGTAGCGGATGAAATTCGTGAACTCAAAGTCGCCAAAAAACTACCCATTATATTTGTCTACAGCGTGAAGGATGAAATTTATAGGATATTTTTTTAGTTTCTTATGCCATCTTACTTAAAAAGTAAGAGTACCTGAATCGTTTACTGAAAAATATGCGTCGTGAAATAATTTGTATCGGGTAATTAGGGTGGCAGGGCAGGGAAGGGAAGATGCAATTTGCTTTACACTAATCTTGACTACGCAATAATCTCAAAAAACTAGAACACAACTTAAAACTTGATCCTTTCCTCGAGAAAAAAATGAGAACGAAAGTAAAACGGAATGCAAAAGCAAAGGAAAGAAGAAAACTAAAATACTACATCTAAGTTATAAAGATAATTCGGCTTCTGCTTACGAACGAACAAAGGAACAAAAACTCAATCTAGCTCTTTTCTAATGCTTTGCTTGACGGATGTTTAGGGTTTTTAGAGTTACAATACCACCGCATAAATGCCAGGAACGGATAAAAACAACTAAAGCAAGGAAAATTTCCTTTGGCCTTGCTATTCTGATGCCATTATGATCATGAACATGCAAGCCTTTGTACTTTCATAGCGTCATTCGCCATCCTATAAGTAACTTTCATTTCACGATTTCATAGAATGAGTTATGCATTACCTCTTTTAATTCAAACACACAGTTTGAGATAGCTCGCGTTAATTAGACATGTTCAGTTCTGGTACTTAATCACTCAGTTCTTGCACATAGTTAATAACTATGGTTTGTATGACTTATTTTGCTATTGATAATAAAGTTATTATTTAAAAAAAACTAAAAAAACCCAAAAAAAACTATGGTTTACAGCCTTATTTGAGTAACAATAACAATGAGATATAGTTCGTATTTTAATGTCTAATTATTAAATTCAATATTTATTTAAATATCCATTATGGGTGGTCACTTCATTTTCGCAACATATTTTAGCGACCGACACATTTTTCGCGTCACTTTGATTTCGCGATGTTTTTTTTATAAGATGGACAAAAGCACACATTTTTCTTTAATACACCATTACCAAGTACTCTTTTTCTATAGATGTGGGCTAGCCGCCGTGTTTTATGCAGGACATAGGGCAGCCTCAAGATAACTCGAGCCCAAGCGAGGTTTCTGTGGTGTCAGTCGAATTATAAAAAAGCTGTATGGCAATCCCCAATACCCTAATAAAATTGTCAAAATGTGAAATAAGTGTATAATGTGAACGTGAAACAAGAAATCTTAGCTGATCTTTGAAAAAAAGGAATACCTCTTGTGGTTAGATTTTGGATTAAGCTAGTCTTAACGTTTTTTCTTTCTTAAGTGTCTATCACCCTTCTGACAATACTCAGTGTTGATTCTACATGGGGTAAGATGTGGAATAACCCGAAAATATTTCATAGTTTGAGTGCGGCTTCTTGAAGTTATAAAGGCTTTTCCATGCCATATGCTAATGTTGTGACGTATGAAGAGGCATTTATGGTTATTTGTTGTTCCTCGTAACTCGAAACACCGGCTTCTATGTGAAAACTAACTTGCAATAATTTCGATAAGAGCAATGGGAAAAACAATGACGCATTCCAAATTTTATTTATGTGTGCCAGTAATGTTTTGTATCTTAAATGATTACTCCTCATACGTCACAGCATTAGCATATGGCATAGAAAAACCTTTATAATTTCAAGGAGCCGCACTCAAACTATGAAATATTTTCGGGTTATTCCACATCTTACCCCATGTAGAATCAATACTAAGAATATTGATAGATGTGTTGATCATCACAGTGAATGAGCGATCTAAGCGAACGCTGTAAAGAAAGACTTGAAAAAATGATTTCAAGCTTCAACGGAAATCGAACCCATGACCTCCGCGATGCCGGTGCGATGCTCTACCAACTGAGCTATGAAGCCAATTCTGTTTGCGAGCGGTCATTTTTGTTGRGTTCATCAAGCCACTATATGTAATAAGTGTGAATATTGAATGGGTAGAACTGTGGTGAAATAATGATAGATGTGTTGATCATCACAGTGAATGAGCGATCTAAGCGAACGCTGTAAGGAAAGACTTGAAAAAATGATTTCAAGCTTCAACGGGAATCGAACCCATGACCTCCGCGATGTTGATGGAARGTTGATGATTGTATTTTGATGATTTGGTATTGGGCTACCTGTGGCGAAGTAGACTGGCAACCAGTATCCCATAAGCCTTTTCAAGTCGTGTTATTTGGCGGGAAATTTTGGAGCGAAAAACAGAAACATTTAGCTGCATATTCTTCCATTTTTAGTTCATTTTTAAACGAAAAACACCATCAAAACCTCAAATTTCAACCCGGTGTAGTGACTAACATGTCTGCTGTTGTCAAACCTATGAGATTCGCTCATAGTGAAGGACATACTGATGTTTGCTACGACCAAACTGGACAGTAAGTAAAATAGTTTGTTTTTCTTGGCCAAAAGTACAATCTTAATGGACCTCTTAAACTTTTGGATTTTATTTGAGTTTAAGTTCAAGTTTAAGTTCATTTGAACCTAGAAATATGACAAGTATCATATACTCACTTTGAAATGATTCAGGTAATTTTTAAATTGAAACCTCTATAAATGATAGCGCTAACCTATCTAATAATAAAGACCCTATCCAAGACAATATCATGGAAATCGTATACCTTTTTAAAACCAAAATCCAGAAAACCTGTATCATATATATGCCATATCTTTTTGTGGGTTTTGGAAATTTGATATAAAAAATAATGATAAACTCTTTATTTTTTTTTTTAGTTTGAATTTTTTTCTCTGATCGTATTGATTGGTTTGCAGGCATTTGTTGACTTGTGGTTCTGATGGAGACATTCGTATCTATAACGGCTTTGATGATAGTGACCCTGTATCTATACAAGCTGGGGAGAATGTCACAATGGTTGCAGTAAAGGTTGGTAATACTGAGATAAATAGATTTTGTTACAACAAGACCAGCATGCTAAATTCAATAATATGCAGACTGCATATTATTATTGAACAACATACTCTCCCCCTCCCCCTCCCCCTCCCCCCAGGAAATATACAGTATATACCCCTCTGGAATTTTCAGTACAATTCCCTAAGAAATACATGAATACTTTTGTAACAATATAATACAGTATACAAATACACATTCTTGATTTTTTTCCCTATATAATAATACTACTCGATTCTACAGGATAACAGAATATTTGCCACACCAGATAATTTTGCTGTGCAAGCCTTCACTTTCCCTGAGGTATTATAATAATTATCATTAATGCTTTAATAGTCCCCTTCACAGTTCCCTGCACCATCTTAAAAGGTAGCTGTGGATTTGCATTTAAGCAAGACAAACAGTGACCTTGCAATGATAGAGACTTTTTTTAAACGCCTTGGACATTATTCACAGGTCTCTATCATTGCAAGCTCACTGTTTGTCTTGCTTTGATGCAAATACACAGCTACCTTTAAGATGGCATAGGGAACTGTGAAGGGGACTATTATTTTAATAGCGATCTAGTTTTAAAGTGTATAATGGTATAATTTTTTTAATGCACTTGTGTACGGTATATGCACGAACGATGATCTTGAAAATAATACCTATACTTTTCCAGGGTTCACCTGATGGTATTTTGACCAGATTTCCTTCTACTGTCAATCATATGTGTGTCAATCAAGCTGGGACTCTTCTCGCTGCTGGCTCCAGGTTAGCAGTGCTATTTCCTTGAGTATTATAATTTTTCTTCAAAAACAAATTTTATTCTTGTAAGAATAGACCATTAGAGCCAGCACATGACATCTGTGCTTGCTAGTAGTATTATTAGTATGCTTAACTATTAATATTTTTAAATAATATTTTATGTTTTTATATAATATTATATAATCAATATACTATGTTTATATTTAGTGACTTCTCCATCAAAGTTGTCACCCTAGAAGATAACAGTCAAAAGTCATTCAAAGGTCATGCAGCACCTGTACTGGCAGTCGCGCTGGATCCTCAGGACATGTACCTGGTCAGCAATAATTAGTACTTTTTTAAGTGACAATTTTTTTAGTACCTGTGATATACTGTTTGCGCTAGTATTCTCATTGAATTAATTTGCAAATCTAGGATTTTGAATGATGTTTTTAATAAACACCAAAACTGCACATGCCACAGGTGAATTTTTTAAGGTCAGGGAAGCTCCTCTAGAAAGGTCAATTTAGCAGTGTAATTTAACCAATAGCAGTCTAATTATTGCTATAATTTTTGATCTTGTCCAATTTTTCATGCAGGCTTCATCTAGCTGTGATGGTACTGTCAAGATATGGAAAATGGAAAACCAAGTATGTATTATTATTATTATTATTACGCCAGCATGACAATATTCACTATAGGGTTAAACCCTCACTTAAAAAGTGATGTAAAACTTCTTGATTACTCTTCTTGCAATTATTGATATTCCTCCTAAAAGTGATTGATTAAAAAAAACTATTTGAAAAACTGAGGAATACCATAGCTGTAATTTCTTGGTGAGAGCTAAAATTTTGCTTTTTTATTTAGGCTGTTGTAAAGACTATGAATATTTTGCCCAAGGTCAATGATACCAGGTAACGATATATATTCCATGGAAAGATATAATACTTATTCTCCTTGTATTGTATACATATTTTGCAAAAAGCCAACTTCATCTGATCTATTGGTAATATTTTATATTTAGTGCGTTCAAAACATGTAGAATTGGCTGGCAGCCAGGAAATGGAAAGGTAAGTGCAATATCACAGCAAATAATTATTGCAAGTGTACTGTATGCACATATGAATAAATATTGCATTGAAAAGGCTTTTATTTTCATCACTGAACTGGTGTTTAAAAAATTCTATTTGATTTATAGTACATTGCTGTTCCTGTTGAGAAAGAAATCCAGGTAAATTATTGTATTTATTCATTCATTCATTCATTCATCCATATAATTATTTATTTATTTATTTGTGTATTTATTTATTTATACATTTATTTATTTGTGTATTTATTTATTTATCTATTTATTTACTTATTTATTTATTTAACCAATATCCCTAACTTACCCCAACCATCCTTCCCTCTATGTCATTTACCTCTCTTCATTCATACACTCTTCCTTTCTTTCATCAATCCATTTAATCCCTCCCTATATTTTTTTTGGCTACAATATCTCTCCCTCTTGTGTTTCCTTTGTCCATCTATCAAGCTCAAATCATCCCTTAATTCCTATTCATCAATGGAAGATAATAACCATTTATAGGTTTAACACCAACAAATAATAAGTACTTTTTTACAGATATATGAAAGAGACAGTTGGAATTTGTCTTTCACTTTGAACAAAGAAGGTCACACTGAGGTAACATCATTCTCCAAATATTTTCATCAACTTACTTTATTACGTGACACAGTTTAGGATTCCATTTTCAATGTAGCATTCTGTGCATCGTGCTATTACAAGCCTTATTTTCAAGATTAAATGGCTGGTGGTACTAAACTACTTGTTGCTAATGCCTTCTTTCTCATATCAGCTTCCCCCCCCTCCCCCCCCCCCCCCCCCTTATGCAATAGCGCTAAAGTGTTACAATGCTACACCTCTACACCCGCTACAAAAATATGCCACATGTGACTGACTTGTACTCATTAAAATACATACCTGGGTTTAGAGAGATACTTAGAACTAGTAGGACCCTAAGAATACAATATAAGTGGATAATCAAATGAACATATAATCAACAAAAAATGAGATCACCAGTACTTTACTGACTTTGTTTTAAAGTTCTTGGTTTTTTAAATCCTCAGATTGTGTCTATGGTGAGTTGGTCACCCTGTGGTTCTTATTTAGCAAGTACTAGTTTAGATGGTCAAATTATGATATGGAGTATTACAACACAAACAGTTCTGGAAAGGTACATTATTCCATGTATTGTTGTTGCTATGATATTTTTACCTAGCTACCTATCTTAACCATGTATCCATCCATCCATCCATTTATCCATCCATCCATCCATCCATCCATCCATCCATCCATCCATCCATCCATCCATCCATCCATCCATCCATTCAGAATCAAGTTTGGTGTAGTGGTAGTGCCCTCACCTCCCATACCTGGGGTCTAGGGTTAGTCTCTGGGATCACTGCATCATATGTGAGCAGTTTGTTGGGCCTCTCCGTTGAAGCAAGGGTTTTTATCTACCCATTTATCTACCCATCCATCTTATCCATCTTATCCATCTATCTTACTCATCCATCCACTTAACCATCCATCAATCTAATCAATCCATTCACCCGTTCAAACAATCATTAACCCATTCAAACAATCATTCATCCATTCAAATAATCATTCACCCATTCAAATAATCATTCACCCATTCAAACAATCATTCACCCATTCAAACAATCATTCACCCATTCAAACAATCATTCACCCATTCAAACAATCATTCA